AATCAAAGCAGCCAGGCGACTCACATACATCATCTACATTTGTGGATGGGTGAGGTGGTCCCCACCTTTGGCTTAAATGCATTTGACGCATAAATTCCAATTATGTTTCCACATTTCATGCAAACCATGTCTGGTTGGAGCCGGACGAGCATTGCGAAAGCTGAAACGTTAACAGGTTACATGTTAAATTGCCAAAAAGCCTTAAAAATTCCATTATGATTATTTACTGAAGTGCCCGAGATAAACAAGAGGGGAGCTGAACATGAATAAGGACACTTGGCAGATAAGGAAATAAAGTTGTTCTAAGCGAATAAATCAGTTTGTCCTGGTGCCAGGAACCAAACACATGCACACATACGCTTGCTTCAAATGTGCCTTAAAATTTGTAAAATATTTTTGGCAACGTGACAACAACAACAACAGCAACAACAACAACAAGCACGTATGACAACGACGGGCTAATAAATGAGAACTTTACGCGATGGCGCATGCCACAAATCCCATTTACTAGGACAAGACTACAAAGACTTTGCTTGTGGCTGCAGCTAAAACAAAGCCGAAAAAATTGCTGCAGGATATGCAGACACACAAGACAGAAGGCAAACAAGTCACGAAAAAAGAAACAAAATGAAGAAATACAGTCAGTGAAAACCCGCAAAGATTCTTAACATAAATATTTTCATTGCAGGCACGGCACCAACACACTCGAATAAACATCCGTACTGACGCATAAAAATACATACACACGTACATAGACACATACATATGTACATACTTCATACATACATAGGTTCCCATATGCTTACGAAAATATTGCGGTACATCTTTCGTATATTAAATGTTCAGTTCCTACACTCACAAAAATTGCTGAGCGCAGTTTTTGTTATTGCTGAGAATACACATTTTTCGACAATTACATATTTGAAGGAGATCGAGATTCTCGATATACATAGTTGTGAATCAAAAGGTGGATTCTGCCACCGAAATGAGCGAACGAATTGTGAGATGTGTATCGAAATCATTTTGGGAATATTCTTCTGGCGATTCTATGCAATACTTCAATTTGCTGTTCTTTACTATTGTTATTATTTCAACACGCATCTCAAAGAATTTACAATTTACTTGTAAATTGACATCATCAGCCGTTTGAATTAGTTTGATATCAAGAATTACATTAGCTTTTAAAATGGTTCAACTTCATAAATGAGAACAAACAAAATGTGAAACCAGTATACGTTTGCTTAAAGAACTTTCCGTCGCACATTTGATTGATTAATTAAAGGAAATTTATAGGAGGAACACGAGCTAGCCTACTAGGCAGTAACTTTAAGAAATTCCTATTTAAGACATTGTTTTTAAAATGCATTTTTATGAAAAAGAAATGCGAGATACGTGCGCGAATCGGGTATTCGATAGGGACAAATACTTTTTAAGTTGGCAGTACTTTTACTGCTACCTGTGTCAAATTTTCAATCCATTTTTCATTGTTTTTCTTTCTACAACTACCGTATTTGCTCAGTTTGTTTTCTGGCTATTTAATAAATTGAAAAGACCAAACATGATTGAGGAGATTCAAGCCGAATCGAAAAACTAAAGCCCATTCCAAAGCATTTTAGGACTGCTTCGAGGATTGAAAGAGGCGTACATACATATCTATGTGCATTGCAGCCGGGCGGGATTTTTTTTGAATGAGAAATTTATTTTAATGAATAAATAAAGCCTTTGAAATAAATATAGAACAAAGATTGCATTAGCCTTCCCCGTTATGAGTTACTTTCCACAACTCTCGTACCTCTCTTGGAAATTTTGAACTAATTTTCATTCTGTAGGAGTTCAAGACTCATTGTGATAGGGCTACTATAAAAGAAATTATGTAAGTTGTTGTTTCTGCTCTACTATTGCTGCACACATTAAATAGGTATATGTATATACTCCTATTGTATACTATTTGTACTTAATTAGTTTTAGTTTAAGAAACGTAATTTAATTAAATTAAAAGACATGTTTTTTTTTCAAGTGGTTTTTAGGGGTTTTTGGAGCCGGGCTCACACCACTAGCATGCCATTCTTATTTTTTATTACAATTGTCCTGAACAAAGCCGCAATGTGCAACGTCTGCTTAGTTGCTGACTGTGGCCATACTTTTGAGAGAGAGTGTGTGTGGTTTGCACACCGCACTTGACACATTCCTGCAGCGAATGCACGAAACGTTTGTTTTGGTGGCCATTTTTCCTGTGACTGGGCGGGCTGGGCATGTTATACAGAATTCGGCCGACTCGCTCTCTTTCAAAGCCAAGGCAGTGCACTTCAGTCGGGAAAAAAAGGGTGTAGGGTGCAGTGGCTAATTTTTCGCTGTCATCTATGTGTGCTTAAATTATTTTAGATGCCATGAAAGCCAGTTTCCCGGCCAATCTTAAAATGTTAGTATGCTTTTGCTCGGTTGCAGAGCTAAACGCTTCAAATTTTTCATTCCGCTTGCATGCATGGGGGCTGAGCTTGCAAACAGCATTTATATTTCATGCTAATTTCACAAAAATATTTTTGCATTGTTATGGGGATTTCGAAATGGTTAGCAATTATTTGGCTTATGACCGAAAGCTTAGCCCTTAGCCCAGAGTAAATGCCCATGAAAAATGGTGCAATTGTTTACCCCTTGGAAGCGAACTTTAATTGTTGTCGGACATTCCCTCCATTCCACATGAACCTCAGTGTAATCACTTTATTATATATCTGGTAAAGGAATTGAGAGATATCTTTTCAAGTTCTCTACATTTTCTTTATATTAATGTATGAAAACATTTAATCTTGTCGAAACGACAATTTTAGTAACAGAAGAGTTAAAACAGAAATCAGCTAAAAGTTTTTTTTTTTTTTTTTTTAAATAGGGATCATTTCCCAGCTCCCCTTTCGAAGTGTAATAAGAGCATTGAGTTGATTGAATAGGTTATTCTAAAAGCAACTTGTCCTTGTAATACATAAAATTCAATCAGTATACTGGAAAGTCATTTGCTAATTATGACTATATTTTATAATGCCCCAAAATGTGAATGCACTAAACTTGTTATGTAGACTCCTATAACATCCAGACAACATGAGTTTATTTTACTTTTTAGCTTCTCCCCCCTCTCCATGCTACTGGATTACGTCAATGCTGTCCACATTATAAATTATACTTAAACTAAGCACAATCTATAAAGAATTCTCAATTTTCTTTTGTTTCAATTTGTTTCCAAATCGGACTAGCTTGACTGTAGCATTCTCTCTTGTTGAAAGCTAAATTCAGACTCTTCTCTTACAGCTGGGATATGAATAAGGGCCAGGTTGCATTACAATTTTTTTGCGGTATACAGTTATTTTTATAAAAGATATAATGAAGTGAAGTATGTTTTCATAAAACAAATACTTCCACTTCTGAACTTGTTATTACTGCTGAAAAGCTTATCAAAAGATACGATCCGGCTTTTCTTCTCATCCTCATCTGAGAGTTGAAACTTTTTGCTGTTTGAAAAGTTGCTCAAAATAGCTAAGTATTATCAGTGTCTGTGTAAAAATGGCAGCTTATATCGTAGTTATACCAAATGGCAATATTTGGGGTGGCTTCCACTTTTCGCACTTGGGAAAATTAATAAAGTTGAGTAATGTTCCATTGCGCTACTCTGCATTTTTCCAATTTCGCTGGCATAAATTTTGTGCTCGATTTAATGTGGAATCTTTTTCAAATCGGCTTATTGTGCAATCGTGTGTGCTCACACGCATGCACTTGCACATACACACACACGCATATCTATATATATGTATATATGTATTTGTATGTATGTATGCCTCTTTACCTATGGAGAATGCCTAGAAATGTCTGCTATGCAGATAAGTTGCCGACAGCGCCGACCTTAGCCCACAAAATGGAGGAGAAGAAAGCAGTAAGCAAGTAAGCAGGCGAATGGGCGAGCTAGTGAGTGAGCAAGCGAGCGCAAATTGAAAGAAACTGGGGAAAAAAGAAAATAACAACAACAGCAACAGCAACAACAACAAAAAGGTGCCAAGTAGCGTGCGCAGTTAATGAGTTTTTCAACATACGCCCCCGCCGAGAGAATTAAAATGTAGCACGAACAGAAGAAATGTAGCACATGACAGGGTGTTGGGTGTGTGTGTGTGGAGGTCGTACAGGGTGACGGCACGTCATAAATCTGCGCAGGGTGGTCTTTGGTATGTAATTGCGCGTGTATGTGTGTGTGTATGTGTGTGTGTGTGTGTTGGTTGAAAAAGTGCAGCGCTATTTGTTTTTCAGGCGCAAGTGTTAGTGGGGGCAGTGTGTGGGGCGTTCTAATTATGACGTCAACAATGAGCGCAGAGCAGGGGCACTCAAGCATGGTGTGTGTGTTAAAGTCGAGGGCCCACTTGGGGCGTCACTTGGTGCTTTCATATTTCGCTTTTGCCGATGGTTAGTTTAGATAAAGAGCGCTATGGCCATATGAAGAGCGCATTGTGTTAAAGTGCCTAAAAGTAGGCACGCAAAATTAAACACACACACTACGAACTAAACTGAAATTGTAGACACATACATATACTCGTATGAATACATCACTATATCTATATACTCTATTATTCATATACATATATCCTTTAAAGCATTTTGGTTTGTTTTTTCAACTAACTAACTAATATTTTGTTTTTTTTTTTTGTCTATTTGCAGAAATGATTGTGTATGTTGCCGAAAAGTTAATCTAACTTAAAATAATATTGGGTCTGGTACTCAACTATTTCATCAACTTTGTTAAAGAAAAAATAAAATTGTTAAAGGAAAAATAAAAAAATATGAAAATCGAATCTATCCCATAAAAATTGCATTTAAATAGTACGTAAACAAAAGAAATTAAATAATTTAAGCATATTCCTGCAACAAATACCCAAGAACACAATTCAATTTCAACCAAAACAAATTGTATAGTAAGGAATTTACAGTAATATATGCAATCTAGAAATTTTAAATTTGCACAATACCGCAAACAAAATTACGCAATTTTCTAAGCTGCACAGCATTAACAACAATAACAGCATCAATAGCAATAACAAAAGCCGCAAAATGTTGCGTCAAACTTCAACACAGAGCAATCGTTTCGCCCATTGCTGTGGATGGATGCAAGTCTTCCTACTACTGACACTCTACGTGATTGGTAATCAAAGTGCCTGGCAGGAGAACATACGACCAAAACTCTATGTGGAATTAGGTGAGTTTCTATTCAACAACCAACGACTCTTGACATATATTTATGACAGAAAACTCAACGAAGTGTATTCACTAAAGATAAACTAACCCAACTACTATAAAACAATTTAAAAGCTTACAGTTATAAAAAACACAATTGTGAATATTAAATGATAAAAATATGTTTGATAATCCACAAATCCCGGCACTAGCATATTCCAATAAATAATCTATGTTTTATTTAGGCACTTGGTGGCAATCAGTTTTAGGAAACAGGCGCCAAGTGTGACCAATTCACTAAAAATAAACTAAACTGCACTATAAAACAATTTCAGAGCTTACAATTAAATAAAAACAAAATAGCAAATAGAAAATGATAAAAATATGTTTGGTAATCCCAAATCCCGGCTCTAGCATATTGCAATAAATAATCTATGTTTCATTTAGGCAATTGGTGGCAATCATCGTCAAGCATCAGGCACCAAGTGTCAAGCTAGGTGGATGACAGCGAAATTAGAACTAATGCAAAATGTCAATTTAAATTATGCATAAGTGATAAAAGAAAATGGCGTCAAGATAATATGTGTAAGCACATGACAAATTTTTTGGATCGAAATCAACTGCCAGAAACTTTAATGGCAACTTTTTATGAGCTCAGAAATATAATTTGACTGCGAGACAAACTCCACACACACACACTCACACACAGTTACACTCACACACTTGAGCCGGCAAACACGAACAGGTTTTTCATACATCTACATACATATGTACATGTTGTTATGTATCTCCTACACTTACAAGGTGAAAAACTTGCTGAAGAAATGAAGCAATAACTTTTGAAGGAGCGCAATGCCCATCAACACATATACGCGTACATATGTACATATGTACATATGTATATATGTAGATGTACGAGTACATACACTCACTTAGATATCAGGCATCCACACGTTTGCTATCTTAACTATAAATAACAAAAATTCCTGGAAGACATTATTTGCATAAAAGTGGCGAAGCTTTTTACACAGCCACGAAGAAGCACATGCGAGTACACATACACATACATGCATACACATACATACATACACATACATACATAAACACAAACACAGATACTCGTACGAGAACACACTCATAGATAATACACAATGTTTCTCTCAGCCATCCGACCCATCCACCATCCACCATCCGCTTCCCATCGTCCATTGCTACGTCATCATCATCGTTTGCCCCGAAGTAACGTACATATGCAAATTTGGCTTAAAAGTTGTACGACGTCCTCACGTACGTATGCGACAGTCGCAACGTTAGCGATCCAAGAGCCAAGCGCCAAGAGTCGAATTCGAAGTCGAGCCTCCTCGCCTTAGCCTCGCAAATAGTAGGTGTATTAGTGTGTATGCCCGTCTCTCACTCCCTGTCTCTCTCTCTCCCTACCTCTCCCCCTTTCTGTGCCGAATGAAAAAGATGAAGCAGAAAGTTGCAGCACTTGGAAACGGCAGTCGCCGCCGCAGTCACAGTCGAAGAGCGATGAGCGCCGGGCTAAGTGAAAAAGAACTAAATTCTAAAAATATCTTTTGCACGCTTCAGAAATTACGTTATTAAATGTGCATTTGGCACACACTAAATGCGAACGACACGCCCTCGGTCCCAATCCCATTTGGAGTCCCATTCCGAGACCCATTCCCACTCCCATACCCAGCGCCAGCCCCAGCCCCAGCCCCATTTCAGTCCATTTGTCGACCCTCGCGGCTACATGGACCTCTACTGCTGCACTTTGTTGGGCCAGTGAACTGGGCTGGGTAATGGCAACTCAACTGAGCCTTTTCAGACAAGTCACATCAGGCGCACATGTGCTGCTTATAAATGAGCCAAAGAAACGGAGTCAAGCGTTTTGTGGGGTGGTTGCAAAAGGGGGTCGGGTGGTTGGGTGGTTGGGCCAGCCCAGGGTAGCCTGTGCAGGAAGTAATTCAAATGAATGTGTCACTTGTGAAGAAAATGCAAAAGATATGAATAAGCGCTATAACATAACAGCAACAACATCAACAACAAATGGCCCAAATGTAAGAGCCAAGCTATGATGGTTGGTCTGGGGGATGGCGAAAAAGTTCATGCTGCTGCAGGATCTTATACCTTGTAATGAAATTGGAAATGTCAACTAGAAAATGTTTGATAACTAACTGACAGATAAAAGAAAGCTTAAGAAAAACGTTAGAGTGTCGGCCTGCAATTTCTGATATTTATATTAACATGCATATATCATTGCTGAATGAAATAATGTCAAACTTGGAATTTCACAATAATTTATTATCTATTCGCCTTGATGTTTCATTTATTATTCAGTCAATAGAATCAAATAATGACCTGTTATCGAGCTCGACTTTTTAAGCTTAAAATTCAATCTGTTACTTCTACCGATGTAGACTTCTGCTCTAGCCTAGGCGCTACGTCACAAGTACTCTCAGAAAGACTACATGTTCGTTTAAAGTGAGAGTTTCTTCGCTGCCTCGAAACACTTCAAAGTCAGCGTAAATAGTCTCGAAAATTGTATTATTTAGTATTAAGAGACGTATTCTGTTAAGAGTCATCCAAAAAGTGGACAGGAAATAGGCCCATGTGGATAAACAAAAGTCTATACGGGATTTGGGCAAAACATTGAGAACCAGATCCTCTTCGATTGTAGGGGTTAGGTGAAGACATGATTAAAACAAAAGGTAAAAAACTCAGTAAGAATTCGAACACAATACATTCTTCAGTTCCATTATTCTGTTGAATGCAATAATGGATGAAAAAAGAACACATATCTGAATAATGCATTCAAGAACAAGAAAGGTAATACTGTCGATCAATCGAAGTCAACAATTTAAATTAAGAAACTTGGCGAGCAGGTATTTATTTGCCCGATCCACTCTATCTTTTTTCGAAGCTAATAATGAGAATTAGGTTTCTCAAGAGCAGAACTCAGCAATTGTTCCAGTGTTTAGCCCAACTGGAGGATACTAGGCTATTGTAAGGATGATGAAAGGCCATAAGAATATAACACAATCAACAAGAACAAAAAAATGTATTCGGAACCAAAGGAAAAGAATATCAATATAATTGCTCTTCAAATAATATAATAGCAATACAAACTGCTTAGTTTTTTCAGTACTGTCCTCAAATGGCCATTACGATGGGGCGAGAATACAAAGCGTGATGACTTTTCTTTGAAATCTTTGTCCTGATATTACTGATGATAGACTATTTCGCTTTGATATCCGGACCAAATAAGATAAGACTGCGCCCAATCCTTACAAATGCTGACAAATCCTGTATCCACTTTACGGACTTCATGTGGAACCTTTACACAAAAATTGGATAATCTAGCTCGCCCGCATTCCTTGACTTGCAGGCGGACAGAGGGAGGTCCAATTTCACAAACAATTTTTGAATACCCTTTTACGGCTTGAACCAAAATTGCGCTTCAAATAATAGTCGATCTATGCTTTCGCACCAAATGCAAAAGCTACGCTTGAACGCTCCTTGATGGGGGTAATTTTGGAGTAATAGAAGAGTGGTAGGACCTTCAATGGCATAACCCAGCTTGCCAAGAAATGTGCATTTAAATGGCCGCTTAGTCGCCCTGCTTCACCTAATGACAACCACTTGCGGCTGTCAAATGCAACATTACGTTGGGTGGGGGCGGGATCGCTGGGGCACTATTGCTTGCATATGTGAGAGTGCGGGGGGAGGCGGGCTGATTTGTTTTTGTGTTCGCCATCTAACAATGGCATATGAATGCATTACTAGGCAACGGCACCATCCGCCCCCCACTGCCTCCCCATCTCCCTCGGGCTGTCCCTGGCAGCAATTTCATTTTACTTTGCCACAAATGTCGTCGGGGTCGAGCCACTGCTGGGCGGCTGCTCATTTGCTCGCCTCCTCTATTCTCTTCTGCTGCTGCTCTTGCTTCTCTCAGCTCACCGCGCATTCATAATTTGCACATTAACCTTATTTTCTTGTTATGCATGAGTGCAAAAGGAAAAAAGGAGGAAAATTGTCACCAAGAACGAGAGGATTTTACGAGTTTTCTCTGATGGATTTTAAATGAACTTTAACACGTGCAGCGCACACTCTCCTTGCCTGCATTTGTGTGTTGGCTAAGTAATTGCTTTTCGGCTTGCTTTTGGCCACATCGGCGAGATTCCGTTAGTTGGATTTTGAATGTAACCGGGAAAATCCCTAAAACAGAGCTTTACTTGAAATTGACAACGCGTTCTCTGGAATAAGCTAATTTTCGATTCAGAAATAAAGTGGCTCGTGAATGGCATCAGAAAAAAACAGCTCTTCCAGCACAATCGTGATATATCTTAAAAAATATTTCAAACTCAATAGCCAAGGAATAAAGAAACTGGACAAAATTTAAATCGCAATCCTCCCACAGTTTTCGTGCTAGATTTGAAAATTGAAATAAAAAACCATTAAAAGTGAAATAAATTCAAAAAGCATTATTTGCCGAAACCCGGGATTGAACCGGGGACCTTTAGATCTTCAGTCTAACGCTCTCCCAACTGAGCTATTTCGGCACGTATAGCCGCGGCATTAGCGCAGCCGTCTACCAATTGGCAGTCTACCGATAAGCAGGGGGTCGGGCCTTCATTCGAAGGTAGACAAGAGTAAGCTGCAACAGCAATCAACAACAAACAACAACAAATAACAACAAAAACAGATTCCGCAATAGCCGCGCTTTGACAATTAATTTTTAATTTTTGTGAGCAGAACAAACTTTGCGACACGACAATAAGTTTGATGTCCCAACTAATCAGCAACACCGAAGCGTTTGGGGAACAAAACAAAAAAATGTGCAAATTATTAAACTTTTAATCAATTTATCAATATTAACTTTTAGCTTGTTCGCTAAAAGTTTTGTAAACCCTCTATTTTTTGTGCGTTTTGTTTTTGACTGGGTCTTTAACTTTTTCATTAAGGCTGCTAAAAAAAAATGCGCTTCAATTTTTGTCGTTACGCCATTTCAATTACTGG